GGAGACTCACACGTCTCCTGTTTGAGGAGCTCGTGGGCGTTAAATAAAAGCGAGTACAGGCAAATCGGAATATTTTTTTTAAACTGAGGCAAAAGATCCTCAATTTTCTGACTAGCAGGAGCTTTTTTTCCTTATCTGAGTTCTGTTGCAAGAGGTTACGGTTTTGCACTCGAGCTGTGTTTTGTGTACGGAGTCACCTTGTAGATGTTACCACACAACTTGGACGGGACCTGCTTGGTAATGCTGTGTGGAAGAAATTAACTACTAAACTCGTTTCTCTTCAGAGACCCTAGGCTCGTGGGTTTTGAGTGGGAAGGGGAAGAACAGCACGGCAAAACCATAACGGTTTAGGATAAGCCACTTCAGTTAGCTCCAGTTCTTGGGGAAGTAAAATACACTATAAAAAAACCTTGGAAAATAACGAGTTGATCAGGTGGCAGTGCGAAGTTGTCATTAATTTACTACTAACGTGGACGGGTGAGTGCTGGTAGGGCATATCCTGAGACTGGTTGTGTTCAGTATTTTCACTGATGAGTTGGATGCTAAAGCAGCGAGGCTGCTTACTGAACATGCAGGCTACATAGCAGTGAGCTATCCCCAAACCTGCTAGAGGATTAAAATTCAAAATGAAATCTTGTTAAATTGTAGAATGAGTCTGAAATACATTGTGCGAAATCTACCCTAAGAGACAAACACTAGGAACTGTATTTAGCCTGGAATAATTGCCTTCTGTTTGTGCAGTTAGCAGTTCTGCTAAGGAAACAGTAGGTATAATTCAGCGTCTTCAATGTCATGCAGCCCCGGAGAAGGTGCAGACAGACAGGTCTGCGTAAAAAAGAACATAACCTTCACAGCATGTCAAGGGATCCTTCTGTTTTGCACAGGGTTGCTCGCTGGAAAACATAGCTGTAAAATCAAGTATAGAAAAATATTTTGCTCTTTGATGTTGGCTTGTAAGTACAGTTGTTCGTGAACGTTTCTGTGTTTTGGCAGGTGGTTATACTTCATCACATGTTGTCTAAAGCAACTGTAAAGGCCAGACCCTCTGTCCTATGGTGTTACAAAAAGGAGCTGGGCTTTAGCAGGTAAGATACCTTTTGTATCTCATGCTGCAGTCACTGCTCTGTGTGAAGCAAAAGCTCCATGAGTGGTCTGCTGAGCGTAGGTTCTGTGGTTTGGTTTTAAGGAGAAACAAGATTAGTTCTTGGAGGAGCTATAGGAAGTTTGGTCTTCCAGAACTAAAATTTGGCTTCTCTAACAGAGTTGATATCAGCAGTAGGTACTTCTGGTTTCTTTCTGTAGCTCTAACACTAACTTTGTTGTCCTGGACCAATCTCTCCCTCATGTTTTTAACCTCAAAAGGCCAAAACTTTCATTCCTCAGCATTTTAGCGTTAGTAATGTTTGGGACTGAATGCAGATTAAGCATTAGAATGCCTTCATTTTGAAAAAGCGTTTAAAATTTTAATTAGATTTGTGTGCGTCCTTACAGTCTGCATGCAAAGTCAGGAGGGAAGTGCTGTCTGTAACTGCATGATTCCAACCAAGCAGTTTCTCGCAAAACCAGCTGGTTCTGTGTGGTACCCACCCCTTTTGGCTGAAGGCACATGGGAGCATATCGTGAAAGCAGCAATTGTGATCCAAGATTTTCTTCCTTGGAGGCTGAGCTCTTGATTTCTAATTAGACTTGAATGTAGGCCTGAATGCACTTTTCTCAAAACTTTTTCCAAGAAAACCTGTGTACAATTTTGTTCTCCAGCCACCGGAAGAAGAGGATGAGACAACTACAGAAGAAGATTAAAAGTGGAACTTTAAACATAAAGGATGATGATCCTTTTGAGTTATTTATAGCAGCCACAAACATTCGCTACTGCTATTACAATGAAACTCATAAGATTCTTGGTAACACTTTTGGCATGTGTGTACTTCAGGTAAGGAGTTAAGCTTTTAACTTACTGCCCTGCACTAGTATCAATTACTTTCAGTTTAAATGCTGCAGGAGTAGTATTTATTGCTTCTGTTATTTCAATTATGATGGCTTTACGTATCTTTTACAAGTTTTGTGAGCGTGAGATAGCCTTGCTGGTAGAATTTTAATGGGACATGGGTTAATGCAAATGTTAAGTGTGAAATAAGCTTTGAGAAATAATGTTTTTAGATTTTCTGCTCCTTTTAGTAGATGCTAGTTGTGCTGGTGAACTCTAGGCAACTTTGAAGTTCTATTTATTTCCTAGGATTTTGAAGCTTTGACTCCAAACCTGCTAGCTAGAACTGTTGAAACAGTAGAAGGGGGTGGAATTGTGGTGATTCTCCTGAGAACTATGAACTCACTGAAGCAACTCTATACAATGACCATGGTACGTTCAACATAATGTGTCTGTTTTATATAAGCAGATCCATTGTGGTGATGCTAAATTTTGCTTTTGTTATGGGCTGTGGTCTTCCTTCCATCACCTTTCCTGCTCCTTCATTCATCTATGATTGAATGTCTTGTGCTTAGGCATTTCTGCCAACCTCTGTGTTTCGAAATGCTGCTGGGTTACAAGGAAGAAACACACAAATGTAACTGTGTTCTTTTGTTTCACAATAGTTTTGGAGAGTGTGCTATCTGCCCATGTAACAGAAAGTGAAGTAAAAAATAGGCCTTTGGAGTGTTTTGTGACCTGTTGCTAGGTGAGATCAGCTTCACAACTATTGTATGTTTCTAGATATGAACTATTCACACTGAGTATTCTTACACCTACAGCAGGAACTGTTTCCATTAGTAATAATGCCAGTAGGTGAATTTAAGTGATAGACTATTTTTTCTTAGCCTCCCTGAGGCGTTTGAAATGTCCTGTACCTGACAGAGTTGACCTTTAAGTCAGGCAAGAACAAGTAAGACCATTGTGAAAAGTATTGGTGGGAAAAGTACATTTATAACAAGTATTTGGAAAATGAGGATGTTACACAACAAACAGAAAATCAGAATCCTGTCTGGGATGCAGTCTTGACACAAAGGGAGACTTTAATCCACAAGAGTGGAAAAGAAGTTGGATTGTCCCATGAGTAACAATCTCGTAAATATAACTCTTACTGCTGTTCTTTCTTTAGATTGTCTTTTTCTTTTTCAGGATGTACACTCTCGATACAGAACGGAGGCACACCAGGACGTGGTAGGACGGTTTAATGAGAGGTAAGTTATTAAGAGCGTAAAGAATCTAGGCTGTATGCCCAAGAAAAGCATCTGGAACAACATCGTGTGTTCATATTAGGAAAGCGTCCTATAGGTTTGCATTGGAAAAGGGCTTCTTTGCTGCTCCAGTGAAGTCTTCATGTGCTGTTCTGGAAATGAAATCAGTTTGGTTTCGGAGGAACTGTATACAAAACTTTGCCATATGTTACGAGGGATATATGCAAATAGATCCAAATTTGTAAACTGTTCTGAGTCCCTTTCTTGAAACGCTCTGTAGAAACTTGTGATCCAGATGCACTGAAGTTCAGATGCCGATTGCACTACTGTAAAACATAAAGCTGCTTAGTGTGGAGTGTCCTGTGGTTTTAGAAGTGTCTTGTAAAGGTGATTTCTCTGCTTTTGTTGTGTAGAATAAGCATCTCTTACTGAGTGAGCGAGCCCTAGCTCTAGCCATAGGCAAGTTGCAGAAATCGTTCTTTAGCATGCAGGTGGTTATGTGATGTCAGAAATGAGGATGAATAAGCCAGCACTGGCTGCAGTCTGTGGGGGTCAGCGCTTGCCACGGTTGCTGTGGATTCACGTCTTACACTTTTATGCAGCTGCCTCCTGCTTAAACGCTCTCTTGGTAGGTCGTCTTTAGTTAGTGTTCTTCTTTGGAGACATCCTGGTAAGTGGGTACCTGTTTTATGTAGATGATGCTGATTTTATGGTAAGAGGCACGCTGCCAGTTGCGTGAACTTGTCATAGCTCAGCTGTAAGTAGCTGTAGCTGTAAATACTATGTCTGGGTTTAGAAAAGAGTTTAAATTAACTACCAAACTGCAAATGTTTTGCTGGTGTTTTTACTGAGTTGCCTTTGCTTGACTGCTCAGGTTCATTCTGTCTCTGGCCTCATGCAAAAATTGCATCGTGATTGATGATCAGCTGAATATCTTGCCCATCTCCAGTCACGTTGCGAACATCACACCTGTCCCACCACAGTCACAGGTCAGTAAGCAATGTCAGCCGTTTTTTCTTGGGAGAAATCGGTCTGAGTTGACCGTGGTGCGTTAAAGATTTAAAAAAGAGGAAGCTTTCCTTTCATCCTGATTTATATCAAATAATGGTCTTGCAGAGAGGAATTAGAATCTTTTGCAAAAATTATACCTGGTATGAGTGAAGCATGGGAACCTGTCTTTTCTTTTCTTGCGTTTTTTTCTGTCACAGCTTTTTTTGTGCTTGCCTGTATTTATTGATTTTGCTGTATTGCTGTTTAGCCTAGCAAGGTGGAGCTTAATTGCTGTGCTTGCTGTTTCAGAAGCGCACAGAGATTTTTCAAGCTGATGGACAGTGGGAATGAGACAAATAAAGAGACCTTTCAGTGGTTCGAGGGTGGGAAAACACTTCAGAAATAAGTATATTACAAGCTCAGGAGACAACTGATACCTGGAAGCTGCAGTTGTTTCAATTTCTGAGTTACACATGCCACATCTCGGGAAACACTCACTGAATATAAGCCAGACATATAGCTTGCACTGGTAGAAATGTATCCTTTGATCACTTTCAGTTTTAGTCTAAAGTAAAATGGAACCAGCTTTAAATACAAATGTTTAAGCCTTTGAACTGTTTTGTGTGGCCTAAGAAATACCAACAGGTTCTGTCAGAGGTGGTAAAAATATTTTAGCAGAGCACTGATTTTAAAAAACAAAACAACTCTCCCTTAGCATTATAACAATATTGACAGCAGCACACATGCGTATCTGTTGGATGGATAGACTGATGCCTTTGGAATTTTAAGTGACAATAAGGAAAATTTGAATTCATTCCCATTTAAAATTGATTGCTTTTGTGTCCAAGTTTATTGTTTGGCTTTGAAAATCCTGATATTGGTTTGAAAACTGATCTATTGCTGCTGCAGTAGTTTTTCCCCCCTACATGGCAATATGTACACCTTGTATGACAGGTATAACAAAGATCATAAAATTTTGGTCCAGCCTGAAGGCTGAAAAATGAATTAAATTCTTCAGAAAGTTTGTCCACGGTCTCTTCTTCCTAGCAGTGGCATTCTCCAGTTACCATGTGCTGAAAAACCCTTTCCTTTTTTCCTCCAAGTTTGGGGAAGCCAGGATACCCACCTCTTGTGTAACCATTCTCCTGAAGATGCATTACAACTGAAGTGTTAAATATCTGTCTGTCCATTTAAATTTTTCTGTTTCTAGGGAGCATATTCAACTTGTGGTAACATTTCCTTTCAGATATCTTTGCCTGATAAAAGATATCAGAAGATATCACAAAGGTATAATTGTGCCGAAGTGTCCTTTAGTAATCCTATTATGGTAAATCCTGTGCTTATAGGAAGATAGCCTCCAGCCGCAGGACTTGGAGCTGAAAGAACTGAAGGAGAGCTTGCAGGATACACAGCCTGTAGGAGTTTTGGTGGATGGCTGTAAAACCCTGGATCAGGTTGGTGTGGTGGTTGAACTTGAGATACTCTGTGCTTGACAGGTCACCTTAGGTATTGATGTCTGTGCGTCATCTTGCATGTAATCAAATCTGAGTGGGAACAGTGATGGCTGTGGTCTTAGAGAATTTCCTTGAAAAATTAACTCAACAACAGTATCAGTGATTTTCTTCATGAAGTTGAGACTAGAATGGGGACAGGAAGCTGATCTGGAGAAGTCCTCATTTAAAAAGATGATGAGCTGTCAGGGTTTGAAATAAGCAGGAAACTTAACCTGAAATTTCTATTCAGTTTAGTTCTGAATAGAAGCTGGAAATCCATATCATGTTTTAATATGCCCCTATTCCTGCCTCCCTTACACTTTTTTTTCCTTCAATTTGAGAATCAGTGACTAGTGCAAATGAAGGCCCTAATGCAATTGCCTTTCCTGTTTCCGAGTATCATCCACCAAGAAGCTGCAGTTCAGCCTGGTGGCTCCCAGAGCCGTCCACTGCTTAAGCCCTTCTACAGTAAGTCTTGTCGCTGCCCAGATACGTTGGTCTTCCTCTGAGAGCAGTGTGCCTCTTCCCATCTTGCTGAATATGCTCTGTGGTCAGCGACGTGGAGGTAGTAATTGAGAATTGCTGTACGGACTGTTGATCTGTGTTTTGACCTGAATAATTTCAAGAACTCAGTGTGTGAAGATTACCACTTCTTGCCCGTTGTTTGTCTGGGCTTTAATATTCAGCTCTACCATCCTGTCTTTCTCTTCCTTTTTCCTGTTCTAGGAAAGAAGACATGTACCAGTGGTAAGTGTAAGTGCTGAAAGTGATTTAAACACAGCTGATTTTTGGTTTTTATTTTTTTCTGGTCATCAGGCAAAAGCAGTTCTGAAATTTATTGAAGCCATTTCTGAGAAGACTCTACGGAGCACTGTGGCGTTAACAGCAGCCAGGGGACGTGGTAAATCTGCTGCTTTGGGACTGGCTATTGCTGGAGCAGTAGCTTTTGGGTGAGTGATCCCCTCCAGTCTCCCAGGCTTTATTTGCATACAAGAGTTTAAAAAAAAAATACATAAAAATGACAGGATCTGAATATATTTGTAATTTCCAGTCCTACATGCCTCCTTTTTGTTCCTCTTACATCTTTTGATTGCTGCATACACTGATGTTCAAGTTTTTCTGTTTTATAATAATAAGAGAACTTCAGTCTTTAAAAGTCAAAATAATCACACATAAATTGAGGTAAGTGTCTAAAGGAATCTGCTGTGTTTTGGTTGTTAGCTAAAATCAACCACTCATATAAAGAAAACATTCTACTTAGTATGTATATGTAAAATTTGTTAGAAAAAGAGGCAAACCGTTGTTTTGGTTTTTTTGTACAGTTACTCCAATATCTTTGTCACATCTCCAAGCCCTGATAACCTTCACACTCTCTTTGAGTTCATATTTAAAGGCTTTGATGCACTGCAATACCAGGTAAGGAGAGCAGACTATTTTACAATGCTTTCACAGCGTTCCTGTTTAGGAGGAGTTTTGCATCTCGTCTGTGATTTTTGTTTACATACATTAACTACCAGCCTTTTTAGTAATGTTCTGCAAAAATGAATTGCAGTACAGTTTTATGTTTTCTTCTCTATTTTTAGGTTGGGTAAATCAGTTTCTTTGTGAAATAATTGTTTTTAACATAAGTAAATAATTTCTCAGTTCTCAGGCCTCTGAAGCTTTTGTTATGAGTTTTTAACTAGAATCTGAAATAACAGTGCAGTCTTAATGAGTTTATTTTGGTGATAATAGTAAACAATATTTTTCTTCGATCTTGGCTTGTTCATACTGTTTAACAATGTTTTCTTTCAGGAACATCTGGACTATGAGATTGTTCAGTCTTTAAATCCGGAGTTTAACAAGGCTGTTGTCAGAGTGAATGTGTTCAAGGAGCACAGACAGACCATTCAGGTAATTGGCCTCTTCTGCGCTCTTGCCTTTCTGCTTTTTGTTACTAACTGTTGGCTTTACCGATGCTGTAGTTGTTTTGATTTTAAGCACGTTCATTTTATGTGATGTGTAACTGTCCTGATTGATTTTGCTTTAAGGCAGACCTTTTTTTCTGTTGAGTGACCTTCACAAAACATCTTTCTTCTTTCTATGAATAATTTGTAGGTTACAGAGCTCCCTTGGTAATTGCTTCTGGGTTTCTTCTTGAAACAAAAGCAAAGGAAGGTGAAAGAAACAGTGAAGGAAGAGCCTATGTTTCTACTGATTAGTTTTTCTTTATTTTCATGATCTCTGCAGATACATTTGTGTGGAAATGTGCAAAACAAGATGTGTGATCCATTCCTTGTTAGGTTAACATGAACCCTCTCCTGATTGTTTGTTTTCATGTCTCAGCCTCTGGCTTGATGGTTGTGGAGAACAGGGACAACAAACAACTTTTCAGGGCTCTTGCTTTGGCAACTCTGACATTTCCCAGACAAGCTGTTCTTGGTGTCCTCTCATTCCTTGCAGTACATACACCCTGCTGATTCTGTGAAACTGGGTCAAGCTGAACTTGTTGTGATTGATGAAGCTGCTGCCATTCCTCTACCCCTGGTGAAAAACCTACTGGGCCCTTATCTTGTTTTCATGGCTTCTACAATCAACGGGTAAGGCTTGAACAGCACCTGTCTGCCTGGGAAAGCAATTGGGCAAGTGCCAGTGGACTATTTCTTACCTACGGTACTTTTCTTTATTACACACGATTACATTCAATTATGCTAATTCTTGATCTATTATGGAACTGCTCCTTAAAATAACTAAGAGTCAGTACTTGAACTTGCTGCTTTCCTTTGGTTCCACTGTGGATTCATTGAGTGTTTGACTTGCACCTCTTCTGTTGTGCTACAAGGAGCAAATACATAAACAGAATTCTGCAGTCTGTTAGGAGAGAGGGAAGAATGACATCTTCCTTCCAGTAGAATGAGACTAAGAAAGTGACAGCATAGGCTGTCCTGTCCTGCATGTGCAAGAACATCAAAAGGCAGCGATTCTCACAGATGGTTGAGGCCCTCACAGGCCTCAGAACGGCACATAGCTCTAGATGGCAGCCTCGCTCTGTGCTGGAGCTTCTTCATGGCTCAGGATTGCTGTTCGGTTACTTGCTTCAGACTTTTGTCTTCTGCTTTTCAGGTATGAGGGTACTGGTCGATCACTATCTCTGAAGCTCATTCAGCAGCTCCGTCAACAGAGTGCACAAACCCAAGTCACCATGACGGCAGAGAACAAATCTACGGCTACGGCTAAACTCACATCAGGTACTTCATTGTGCGGAGTGTAACCGTGACCTCCGGTGCTGCTGAGTGGCAAGCCTTGTGGGTATCCCATGCGTCCATGTACAGCTGTAGGAAGGAAGTGGTATGGGAAAACGAAGGAACTCTCCTCTGTTTTTTCCTCATGATTTTCAGATGTAAAGGCTTTTAAGGGATGAAAGCTATGTGAATAATGATTTTCTAATCTCCTGGAAGCCCTTTAAAGGACACTGATCCTATTGGATTCTTTGCTTCCGACACTAGATCTTCTTCTCTGAAATCTGTTTGCAGCTCGTACATTGCATGAAGTCTCCCTCCATGAGTCAATCAGATATGCCCCTGGTGACCCAGTTGAAAAGTGGCTAAATGATCTGCTATGTTTGGACTGTCTCAGCATCACCAGAATTATCTCCGGCTGCCCGCTGCCTGAGACTTGTGACCTGTATCCTTACTCAGATATAGTGCTCTGATCAAAATATATTGCTTTCAGGTGAAGGAGGCTTTTTCAAACTGATTAATAGTGGGTTCTGCAGCTAATGTGATAACCTCAGCACATGGTCTTTTGGCAAAAGTCTCTTTAAGACCACACTTCTGGAGTTAAGCTTTTACAACTGCCTTATAAGACGGGTGGTGTGTGTTACCAGGACATTCCCAAACTCGTTTTGGAGACAATCATAAGGAAGGCTTGAACGAAGGGAAGTCCTTGTTGGAGTTATAAAAGGTTTAGCTTTACAGATGAAGGGTATGAAAGCTGTGAACGCTGCCCAAAGTCATTCATTCTTGTAGACACAGCTGTAGAGTCTAAGAGCACAAGTCAGTATGTAGCCCAAGGCTGTATTGAAAATAGTACTCCTAAATTGACAAGGAGCTTTTTCCTTGTTTCCAAGGAGGTTGTTTCCTTAACCCTTATGTTTAGGTACTACGTAAATAGAGACACGCTTTTTTGTTACCACAGAGCATCAGAAGTTTTTCTGCAGAGACTGATGGCCCTCTATGTGGCTTCACACTACAAGGTAAAGCTTTGGCTACTTCTGTCAAAATTTCAGCTAGGAATTTTATGAAGGGAGCAGTGTTTGTTATGATAGTCTAATTGAATTGGCCTAATTGAGGTTTCTGAACAGCTTCAGTTGCTTCTTGTTGTATACAGATCTGTATTCTCATTTCTCTGAGCCGATCTCTGGCTTGGTCTTGGCTGGATATATTGGATATACAGATAGCTGGAATATTCTTGTCTTGAGAAATTCTGGAGAGTAAATTCTAGATGAGCCTACAAGCTTGTCAGAATAGTATCAGTGATGAACCTCTTTTGCAGTTCTCGTTACCGTATTCTCGTAGCCTCAGGTTAACCAAGAGAGTAGTACCATTGTACTACTGAAAAGAGTATTAGTTCATCTCCAGGTTTCAAGACCATGGCTGACTAGTAAATGTGAGTGGTGAAGTACTGAAGTACTGAGTACTATAAAGCTGACACTTAAAAAATATTCAAAGTTTGGTAGATTAAGAGATAAGTAGCTATATAAAAATAGAAAGTTCAGTTCCATACATATTAGAACAAGAGGTTTCACTTGAGAAAAACAGATGCTTTCTGGTAGTGTAACAGCCATGAACTAGCCTGTGAGCTTCTTCATCCATCAGTATTGTAGTAGTTCCAAGTTTCTTAATAGCCCTAAATTCAGAAAATGGAGAATTGTTTAGAAATCAGCTACAAATATCACACTGGACTTTGAAGCTCCTCTCATGGAATAATTCTTCAACTTTCTGATATGTCTTTACCTTCCAGAACTCACCCAATGACCTCCAGATGCTATCTGATGCACCTGCCCATCATCTTTTTTGCCTTTTGCCACCTGTTCCACCTACCCAGAATTCATTACCAGAAGTCCTTGCTGTTGTTCAGGTAAGAGAGCAGCATGGATCTATGAAGTGAACTGTTCAATAACGAAGCAGTACACTGCCATGAGACAGTATGCTATCGGTCTACTATGACAGCAGTGTACTTATCTAGGAGTAGATGGTAGCTTAGGGCTGTGCTTTTGTGTGTGTTACAATGGTGTATTAAGGCCATTCTTTTCCCTCCACTTTCTTTCGTTAACACTAATTGCTGTATAAGGACATTGTGATGCTGATCCTTTCACATAGACCTCCCAGTCTTCACAATGTGTTTGTGCTGAGAAGCCTTCTGAGGAGCTGAACTACTGCGTCAAGAGATGACTTTGTCCTCCCGTTTCAACTTTCTGCCAGGAGAGTTGGTTCGCTAGTTCATGCTGTTTATCCCATGTTTCTAACATTCCTTTTATTTGCGGTACAACTGCAAAAATACAAACTCCTCAAATGTACATGCTTAGAGATGTAGAAATATTTCAGCCCTTGACTGTTGGGTATCTGACTGTATGCTTGCTTCCTTCCTTAAGAACAGAGATTCTTAATCGTCTGTCTTTGATGCAGCTAGGTAAATCTGCTGTTTCTTAAAAGCGAAAGCCCCATTTACATGAAAAATATATGATGTTTAAATAGAAATATTGGTGGGACAAGCTTTTATGTTTGCTGTTGATGGACTACAGAAAATGCATAGAGCACTTTCTATGCTTTATTCTCTTCAGGCTTCTGTTGCCCTGTCATGTAATGCCTACTGTGTCAGACGTACCTGGCTGGCCGCTGGCGTGCTTTTTGAGACAGGGCTTTTAGGGGCAGAGCCTGTTTGTTGGCGCATACATGTTTGTTCATCATGTTGCAGAGCAGGGATCACATGAAATGTCAGTACTGCACAATGGACTCGGCAACAGAGTATAAATTTTGATTCTGCTGTAGTGGTGTGAATGTAGGAGAAAACACTTTTTCTCCGTTAATGGTCTTTTACCTTTTCTGGCAGGTGTGCATGGAGGGAGAGATCTCTCGCCAGTCTATCATGAACAGCCTTTCTAGGGGAAAGAAAGCTTCTGGTGATCTTATTCCCTGGACCATTTCAGAGCAGGTGAATAATTTGGCTGTGTACTCACACCCAAGATGTATTTCTGCACAATTTCTTATTTCCAGAGTACCCTTCTATGTTCTTTAAATTGACTTTTGTCTCTTATGTAGTTCCAAGATCCAGACTTCGGGGGTCTTTCTGGTGGGCGTGTTGTTCGTATTGCAGTTCATCCGGATTACCAAGGGGTAAAGTATTTTGGAACCCAGTTACTGTGAACAGTCAGCAGTAGTACCATGAGAATGACTGTACCCACAGAATTCAAGAACAGGGCAAACATTTCAACTGCCCCAGTTTTTAGCATTTTTAAGCTTGGGGACTGAGCCAACAGTAGTAACAGAATGAGATCAGACGCACAGAAGTGGTCAAATGCCACAGCCGGCTGGAGGCATTGCTTTCCTCTGGGTGGGTAGCAAACCAGGGCTCCTGTCATTACTAGGCAGCATTGTAGCATGCCACCATCCCAAGCAGCAGTATACAGTCAAGATTCAGTGATATTTATTGTGAGATTACCAAATGTTTGTGCTTGTGTTTGGCATTTTGAGTGCCAGAGTTAAGGACCAAGAATTATTACACAGTCCTAAAGTACCAACTGGCCTCCATTGTGATTTCAGAGATCCAGGTTATGTAGTGTCCTTCTCCATGGAGCTGCTGTGTAGCAAAGAAAATGCATTTTTGCAGTGACTGAGCGATCTCTGCACTGATGATTGTTAATGAGTTTGTAAAGGGAGAATGTTGTTGCCCTGCCTTAAAAACTAGATACGTGGTTTTGCTTATAGTGTATTGTTCCTACTTCACAGATGGGCTATGGCAGCAGAGCTCTAACTTTACTGCAGATGTACTATGAAGGCAAATTCCCATGTTTGGAAGAAAAAACAATTCAAAAGCCAAAAGAAATTGCAACTGTAAGCAGTGAGGTATGGAGCTCAGTACATTTTTTTTTTGTATTTTCTGTTCCGCTAAGCTGTTTGTTTTTCACTGTAAGTCTCGATAATGATTCCTCTCTGTAAGGAGGAAATACTTACATTTATTTTTTATACAGAATAAGAGATTTAATTTGTAGATTTCTGAGAGGATTGCTACTAACCCATTTCCACTTTTTTTTCAGACTGTTAGTTTATTAGAAGAGGTTGTAACACCTCGGAAAGACTTGCCTCCTTTGCTTCTGAAACTGAGTGAGAGACAAGCTGAACACCTAGACTATCTAGGGGTATCTTATGGCCTAACACCAAGATTACTCAAGTAAGACATTATTCTATTTGCTAGTTACATCCTGTGCAAAAATATAACTATACAAATTATATATATACACACTATAATAATATGTATT